ATATAGCTAGTCGGTTACATTTAACTTTTTTTTTAGGTTAAATAGATGTTGGTGACCATTTCTAAAAGTTTAATGTTTTATTTATTAAAAAAAATGTTTAAAGACTTAATCATTCAAAATAAGAAAGTTTAATGGTTTTACATTCAAAAAATAGTTCAGAAACCTAATTATTTAAAATAAGAAAGTTTAATGATTTTTCATTAAAATAAATAGTTTAGAGACTTAAATATTTTAAATGAAAAACTTAATGATTTTTAAGTTTAAAATAGTTTAGAAATTTTTTGAATTCTTTTCTATTTTTTATTATAAATTTGAAAGAAAAAAATATTAATAAAATAAATTTGTAATCATGAAGCAATCATTTTACTTTCTACTGTTTTAATGCATCTTTACAATTATTTTAAAATAACAAATCTAATTTTTTGAATTTTTTTTATTATAATATTTATGTTAAAATAAGTAAAAGAATGTGCAGGAAGAGTGATAAATGAATGACTAGTTGTGTATCTGTGTAATATGATGGGAGCCGTGAATTTTAACGGTTTTGAAGTTTCACTGGTTTTATTAGAAAATATTTAACGATGATATAAATTACATTTGGTCTTTACATATTAATACAATTTGAATAAATAAGAGTTATGGTTCCAATTATAGTTTATCAATGAAAAAAATTGTATGACAGTTTAAAATCCAATATATTTAAAATCCAACATATTTAAACAACTCCACAACTGTGTTCGATTTACACCAAAAGCAAAGAATCAAGAGATCGAAAGCGATACCGAGAGTTCTAGAGTAATTGAATGGGAGATGAATGAGAGATTTTAATAACTCATAGTGAATATCAGCTTGCATCTCACCTTGGGGGATGGGAGAAGACATAGAGATATGAGAGGGTGAAGACATGGGTGAAAGGTGTCAAAAATATCTTGGGAACATGAAAAGAAAAAATAATAATATGCATTGATAACTTGTATTGTATGTTATTTTAATTGTAGATTAAGAGATTTTAAGACTGAAGGCATAAAGTAATAGTATTTAATGCATTATAAGTTGTTTTTAAGACTTTGTGCATAAATGTATAGTACTTTGTACATTAAATTTATTTTTAATACTTTTGATAAATCTGATTTATAAGGTAGTATAGATAATAAAAAATATGATTTAATTTGATAATATATAACGGGATCATTATTTCAAACCTATTAACTTTCATACCTTTTTTTTTTACTTAATCCTCTTTTTCCATACGTCATTCATCTCTCGATATTAAATGAAACATTAAAAAAATTTGTATTAAAAATATTATATAAAACAATTTTTCATCGATTAGATCGATTTAAAATTTCATCTTATCAGTATACGGGATTTTCCATCAGAGAATCGGAGAATTTTTCATGTCTATACAATTTAAATTTTTTCGTAATGTTTTTATATATTATATGTACATACATACACACACACGTGTATATATATATATATATATATATATTTGACATTTAAACGACATATAATGCTAAAATATTAGTTACCCAAATTTTAATTGTTGCATTTGTACAAGGATAACATAAAGAACGTAGTTCAAAAACAAATATATCAATTTCAATACTCAATAATTGAAGTTTTATACAATTACATCGTTATATCAACAAAAGTTTCTCATAAACCACAAGGGGGATGCCTGATTAGTTTGAGTTTAACTCCAAAGGTCAAAAGTACGTAGAGGTCTCAGGTTCAAATCCAATAAGGAATAAAAATCCTCTTGTGGCCACGGAGGTTCAAATGCGGTGACTCTAAACTATCTGCAAAGCAGGTGGTCGTCCTGAGATTAGTCGGCTCACATGAAAGATTAATTATATTTATACATTATACTCGTTGCATTTCTCATTGTATTATTATACTTAATTTATATACATAGAAATGTATAATTACTACTCGGGGTTCGGGTTCAGGATGAAGAGTATCCCGAACCCCAGTTTATAAATATGAGGATTTCCCGTCCTCATCCCTAGTCAACTCAGGGATTCCCTGGTCGAACCGAGGTTGGGTATCGGTTTCCTCGCCGGGTGCAAGGTTTTTTGCCATCTTTACTTTTGTACTGAATATTTAACTGGTTATCGATCAAAATGGGTACAAAATAAGATGATCTGAAAGTTTATTACAATAACTCAGAAAAAAAAAACATTTACACTAAATAGATCACGACGACTTCGTTACACTTTACTCGATTACTTACTGTAATTCATAATAATGGTTTTGAAGTCTAATAAGCAACGGGTTGGTTTTTTTTTTTTTTAACAAAGACTACAAATGTACAAAAAAGAACCAGTCCGGTCCAAAGAGATTAGGACAAGTTACACGAAGTACCATATACGGATTTAGTTCAGGCCTACAAGCCTGATCAGTAGAACATTTTTTGACGAGAACCGGTTATGTAAAACATGGTCAAAACTCAGTTAATGGGACCGAATTTGGACTGGTCAAGGGCTCGATTAACACTAGTTAATGACTATTTTGTTTTAGTGTAATTTCTAACAAAACGAAGAAGCAAAACTGTTTTGCAAAATTCAAAACAGATATATTATGGTATTACCTCGTGCACGACATGTGACTCTATTGTCTATGTATGTTTGTCGTTTTCAAAGAAGTTGATATTTATCGCATAATAAGCTAGCAAATATAATCAAAACTCAAATGGCTAGTTTTTTTTTTTTCTTTTTATTAATCTAGATATCCAACCCGCTATGCGAGCCGACTAATCACAGGACGACCACCTGCTTTGCAGATAGCTTTAGAACGAGATGATTCATAATGTTCTTAATAAGTAGCAAAGCTGATTTTGAAGTGGTACACTTGGACAAGATGGTTCATATTGAGTGCATTAAATTGGTTCCGAGATTGTTCATACTCTGTATCGATAAAAATGGTTTATGATGTGTGCATTACACCGATTATGTCACATACATTAAAGGTTGTATACAATTACATGTATATCAAAGACTTGGATGTCGTTTGTTTTTTGAAAAGGTGCTGAAATATGAAGTCTTATTTCATTTTTTATTTACAAGAGGTGATGCTGAAATCTGGAATTTGAATCAATAAGATTGTTTATTTTTGTAAACTGATAAATGTCTGAATTTATCTCAATTGTCTATTTTACCTATTAAAAAATTATAGTGTTGGATTTATAGATAAGTTTATATAATTTCACATATTTATGCATCATCATTACGAAACTTACATCTAAATTATATAATTAGCATTCATTTAAACGAAAATATGTCAATGACGGTATTTAATACATTTATATCATATTAAAATACATCAATTGAGAAAGGTGATGATTGATTTGGTAAGGATCTATTGACAGAAATGATCGATTAAGGCTAATCGATTGAGAAACGTCGTTGTTTAAAGTTTGAATAACAATAAGAGACAAATAAGATATTGATTAACTTTTACCAGATAAGAGGACAATAAGACACAATTGCCTCTAAAAAATTGAAAAAAAAAACAAATACTCTAAATAATCCTACCTCTTAACACAAATATAATAAAAATCGTACCATAAACATAAATAGATATATACAAAAATTGTATCTAAAGTATAAATAGATACATATAAAAGTTACGTCAATACTTTATAAAATACATTAAAACTTGTTATTATCATATTTACAAAAGATATCAAGAGATGCCCACACGAATGATCTTTAGTCTAACAGTATCGTAGCATTTGGTCTTTTAAGAGATCAGAGATTCAAACCTTACCAAAGGTAAGGAGGGTGTGTGAGTTTATTTGTTGCATTTGCCGTATATAACTATTATATAATTCAAAAAAAAAAAGTATACCAAAAAAAGCAATTATAAAGCAATGCTAATCTAATAAATGCAACGGTAGGGCTGTGTGGTCAAATCCTCATCGGTGTCGGGCTATCCAACGGACATGGGAGTAGGGTATAAATGATACGAGACAACTCGCGAGCTACTCGAATATGCACGGCTCGAACTCGAGCTCGAGCTCGACTCAACATTTTAACGAGTCGAGTCAAGCTACTCAATACTTGACTCGAAGAGCTCGTGAGATACTCGATTATTTTATATATACTTAGTTTTAAATATAATCTGTTTTTATGAGAAAATTCGTAAAATATAAATGATAAAAATGTCTTATATTTTTAGATATTTAAACAAAATTATGCAATTTTTAATTATAAAAATTGATTAATTATTTTTTTATTAAAATCACAATTAAAAAAAGACAAATAAAAACTACAAAAAAAATTAGTAAAATTGTCCCACATTGAAAGAGAGATGGTAAAGAAAGGAAGAAAAGATGTTATAAGAAAAAAGAGGAAGGTAAATGAAATTTCTAATTTTGTCTTTTTGATAATAAAGTTTGAAGTTGATCCCTTTAGTTTTATAAAAACTAAGAGAACACCTTTAAGTTTTAAATTTATAAGAAAAAGACCCTAAAATTTCATAAATTTCAATGGGTGAGTTTGGTTCGAGTTTGAGCTTGATTTGAGTTGCAACTCGAGCTCGAGTTCGAGTTTGATTCAAGTTCGAGTTCGAGCTTGAGAAATAGTTATCGAGTTTAAGTCGAGCTTTGATTTTTACTACTCGTGAGTTTTCGAGCTCGACTCGCATCATTTACATCCCTACATGAAAGCAACAAACGACGAAGCTGCCATCCAGAAGACCGAATTAGACTCAATTTTCTTGACCAAGACCGATGGAGACCCGATCGGCGCCTCACCAAGACAAGTTATGATCTCGTCTTATTGAAACATATTTGGAAGGATAGAACCAATCAAAAACTCAAATCTGGTGTTTTCGTTTGAAGATTCACGACTTCTATTAAACTGATTTAATTACACAAAAATTATATAAACCAAACCAAACCAAACCAAACCGAACCGAACCGAACGATGACAGTTTCGTATGTATGGAAACATATATAACTAATAATTCTTTATAAAAACATATAATTAATAATTAATAATTGTTTTTTAAAATATACAAATAAAAAGACGTAAAAATGTAATGCTCATTTTGTCTATTTTTAATAGATAATAAAAAAGGTACACATTACCATAACGTTTTACTTTTAATTCAACAATTATTGGGCGAGAAACTGACGACGGATTTAGTCAAATCGTAACCGACACGTGTCCCTTGCTGCTGGACGTTACCGATGATCGACAGTGCTCCGTCCGTCGGAGCGAACGCCAAACAGAACTTCCCACGTGAATCAACAGGTATCAGGTAATTTTCCGGTTTTAGCGACAGCGTCTTACCGCCGGCGAAAGTGAACCCCACCGTCGGCACCGCCACCCTCGTCAGGGCCGAGAAATCGAAACAAGTATCAAACAACGAAAACCCCTCGGTGGGTTTCAAACTTCTCGCCTGCCGAGTGAAGGCGTCGCGTAGCAAGTTGTACGCTTGGCTCTGCAACCGTGTCACGGCGGTGCCGGAGTCGACGATCACGCCACCTCTTCCGGTGTCGTCTACGGAGAAAATGGAAGGAGGGAGGGACAACGGTCGGCCACCGACGTTTATTCCGGTTAATCCGACGTATAAATAAGTCTTCATTCTCAGATTCCGTAGCAGCGGCGCGGTGACGGAGTTCGCCGGCGGAGCGGAGTTGAATTCCAAGGTGGATGCTGTTTTCGAATCACGATCAACAAGACAATACGAAAACGACGTCGCTTTGATCTGGGACGGCAAAGATAGCAAACCGCCGCCGAGTCCGAGAAGCCCAGCGGCGCCGACGAACAAACCTTCGTTATCGTGGCCGCAACCCATTGCTACCTTCGGTACGGAACCTGATTTCCCAAACGACACCGTTTCAGTCACGAAATCACCGACGGTAAACGATCCGTCACCGTAGGACACCTGGTAAAGACACGTGTTGCTCCGGCAAGCGGTGATCTCGAGTGAACCGCACTGTGTAGAGCCGCAGGATAACGCAGCGTAGGACGTCGAAGACGCCGGATTATATATCGGATCGGTCTGTTGGTAGCAATCGGAGCAAGGCTCGCATTGAAGCCAATTAATGTCACTGCCGGTGTCGATAACCATGTAATACGATTGCACCGGCGTACCCAATCCAACTCTAGCGAAGTACTCGCCGCTGCCCTGAGATATGCCGGAAGTAATGGGGGTGGATAAGCCTTCCGGCCTTATCATCGAATCTGTGTCAACCACCGGCTTCATTTCAGACTTGTTTGTTCCGGCGAGTGCGAATTCTAGCCTTGTAGTGAGTGAGGTGACTCGGTGTGAGTCACGAGCGAGTCGGGAGAGGGTGAGAGCTTCATAATCGTGGTGCTGGTGGTTATGGTGGATGGCGGATCGAGGGTGGAGGATAAAAGACAAGGAAGAAGAAGAGATGGGTGTTTTTTCTTCTAGTTGTTCTTGTTCCACTGAAGTGGGGTTGAGAAGGTCGAGGGTTCTTTGCACGGCGGAGGAAACGTCGAAGGTGGTGGTGGTGGTGGTGGTGGCGGCGGCGGTGGCGGTGAGGGTGAGTAGAGAGAGAAGGAGGAAGAAGGGAGAAGCCATGTGGGTGGTGTTGTGAGTGAAGTGAAGAAAGAAGATGAGATTGGAGATGGGGTTTTATGCAGAAAAAGAGGAGTGGTGACGTCACAGTCTTCTGGTATGGACAAAATCTAATTAAAATAATTCATAATTTTAAAAGATTCTTTTTATAATGCAGTTTTTTCTGTATTTCAAACTATTTTTTCAACAAATAAATTCTTTAACCATGACGGTGGTGTTTGATTGGTTTGAACTTGAGCTCCAAAGACCAAGAGTACCTGAAGGTCTCATTTTCAAATCCAAGAAGGAATAAAATCCTTTTATAGCCACGAAGGTTCAAATGCGATGACTCCAAGCAGGTGATCGTCCTAGGATTAGTCGGCTCGCATAGCAGATTGGATATCCACGTTAATTAAAAAAAAATAAATTCTTTAAAATCGAACAAATAAATACTTTAATTTACTAAAATTAAAAAATATTAATAATTATTTATTTTTTAAATTAAAATAAAAATCATAAGAAAATCTAATAATTATTTATTTTTATATTCAAATGATAATCACGAGATCATAAAAAAATAATACCAACCAACTCGACCAACTCGGCCAACCCAACCCGAAAAAAACTTAACAGGAGCTAACCTGACACATAGATGATACAAAATTAGGCGACCCCGCATCTATTGGGTTGAAAATGGTTTAGGATTTTTTGAACCCAACTCAACCTGATGAACCCGATGTACTTTTATATCATATATTTAATTTGAATTTTAAGTCATTGATTAACATATATACGTTAGATATTAGACCAATCCATAATTAGTTATATATTACAATATCAACCGTAATTTTACTTTTTTATTTACAAGAACCTTCAACTTTATTTTTCTGAGTTTGTTACTCTTTTCTCTATGATATCATTTTGATTTTACTTCATTTAAACATTTAGCTAGATTGTAAAATGATACACGAAAGTTTCAACCCGATCACCCAACCAACCCGCACGGTTTGGATCAGGTTGGGTTGTAGTTTTTCTTGGGTTGGGTTAGATCGAGATTTTTCGAACCACAAACATTAAGTTGAATATTCAAATGTCTTCAACCCGACCAACCAAACCCATGTGCAACCCTAGTTCACAATTAGATTTTTCTCGGTTTTAGTAAGTTTAAGATTCATTTGTTAAGTCCTGAAAGTTAAAAAGATCTATTTATTCGGAAAAAGTAATTAAAAGACGTAATCAATCAAAATGTGATAACTTGTTGAGTTGTTTTGAGCTTTTTTCTTTATTAATCATTAACATTTATTTTAAAATCAAATAATTTTAATAAATACTGTATTTGTGCGGTTTCTTTTTATCTTTAATTTTGTCATTAAATTTTATAACTCGTTTATTAAAACCACCGACAATTATTAAAAGATATTTATGTTATGCATATTTTCTCAGTTTTGTTATAAAAGTAAATTGTTAAATGTTTTAATTAAATACTAGAAGGGTACTTGCGTAATGCAGCGAAATATACAGCAACGTTCCAAGCTTTTTAGAGACCCTGTTACATTTAAAATTTTTGATTGCATTGTCTAAATGAGATAACAGAGAATATATATTAAGAATAAAAATGGGTTAAATCTAAAACGATTAACAATCTGAACTAAAGCCTAAACCATTAATAATTTGAACCTAAAACCAAACAATTAACAATTTGAACCTAAATAATTTCGGTTATAATTTTACATAGGTCGATAAAAAAACCCTAAACACAAGTAAGTTTGGGCCCCAAAATTTCGGAGGCTCTGTTCAAAATCTCACATTTAACATGCTAAGGGACGGTCCAGGAGATATATATCGATTTTAGTGTTTTGTTTTATTCCATCTTTGTAGATGTTTTAATACGGTTTTTATGTGGTTTTTGAGAAAGGGATAATGTTTTTGTTTTTTAATAAAATATAAATGTGAAGATATCATAAAATTTCGAAAATAAATATATCAATATTAGTATCAAATTAACTATCTAAATTCGTTAATTCATTTTTTATTATTAATTTAAATTTAGTAATGAAGTAATTTATTTTTTGATTTAATAATATAATTTTTTATAAGGATAATGATTAAGTATTTTGTTAGAACTCAATAATTATCTTTATCATATTTTAGATTTTTTATATTTAAAATAAAATATTTATCTTATATTTGAGTATGTTTATCTGCAGTTACTTACACAAATTCAAACATTAAGCTTTAATAAGTTGTACTTACGCACAGTTTATTTGTAATCTTAAATTTTAAGTAATATACATCAATAAACAGAGTTTCATGTATAAAAAATGATTTAAAAGTTTTTGTCAAATACTTTATAATATAGTATAGATTATGTATAAATGGATTTTAATCACATATAAATTATTTAATGAGAATTAATTTATTAGCTGTTTTAAGAATATTATTTATTAAAATATAGAGGGGATAAACTTTATTATACAAAGTAGTACGCTCGGTTTTCCAATTGATGCCTTTTTTTAATAAAGCAATTTTCATACGTAATTTAATAATTCAAGTATTTACTTGAAAATTAAATTAATGTTTAATAATTATAATTGAAATTTAGAGACGTTAAATATTTTAGTAACGTAAGAACTACTCTTTTTATGAGTATTCATGATGAATAATATTCACTATAAATACTTACGAAATATGAAACCAGATATTCATTATATTAGATGAACAGTTGAGATTGGTTTGTATAGTTTGTAACTGATTAAAAGGTCTATCTTTAAAATTGTTATATAGGGTTGGGTTCACGTGAGACCAAGAGTTTTTCGTGAGACCCGTAAAACCAATTTATGTTCATTGATCAACTTTATAATCTAATGATCTAATGGTCTAAAGTTGCATGATGATAATTTTGTGATTATTGAGAAGTCTCATGGCAATTTTGTGATTATGAATATTCAGATTGTAGATTTAATCCAAGGGTTGAGAATTGGTCTTACGGGTCTCACGAAAAACCTTTGGTCTCACATGATCCCAAGTTTTGTTATATATATATATATATATATAGAGAGAGAGAGAGAGAGAGAGAGAGAGAGAGAGGTGGGCTACTATACAACCATTTACATTTGTACAACCAATACAACTCAATCTCAACCGTCCATTTAATTTGATGAATATATGATTTCATAGAAGTTTTGATTGTTTCTTAATATAAAGTGTTGATCATAATTAATGAACTTTATTCATCTTCCGTTAATATTCAAAACATAATAAATGAACTATCATCATTTCCATAAACATTTCAATTTATTGGGTTGCATTGGTTGTATAAATATAATGGGTTGTATTTGAAACGATCTCTCTCTCTCTCTCTCTCTCTCTCTATATATATATATATATATATATTTCTTAGCGGTAAATATATTTTTTTTGATGAAAATATTTCTATTTGTTATATGTTTAAAAAATAAGGCGTCATAAAAACACAACTACTTTGTAAATATTTAAGGTTTGAATCTTGTAAGACACGTGAATGATAACAATGAAAGATTCATTTTCTTGCTTTTTTCTTGCCCCGTCCCATTTAGTATTCATTAGATTGACTTTATTTAAATAAAAGCGAGCATATGGTTCTTTTTACTCTAATTTATTTGGTTTTAATTTTGATTAAATTCGTTTATTCAACTTACTTATAGATGTCGTGAATATACGGAAAATACAGATTGGGTACTTATAGTTACAGATTAGATCTCTAGCATTAACTCCGTTAAATTTGCTCTGTTAAGGTAGGGATAATTTTGTAATTTTATCCTACATATACACATATTTGGTTACGCTTTGGGTCCCTCCAAACTCTAAGAACAACGCTCAAGAACGCCTATGACGATCTGAAGATCCTGTTACCTCTTCATTGTCCCCGATCTCATCCTCACTTACATCCTGCCTCCGTAGAGCGCCTCGCCCAACCACTAACCTAGATCTATCACATTCAATTTTCAGTGCTTGAAACTATGGTTTAACCTACTGTTGCGGACAAATTTTGAGTTCAACAAAAAAACCATACAACAAATTAACTGTTTTAAGATTTTCGAGTCGAGCAAGACGCCATGGAAGGATTTTGGTTTAGAAACCTCTCTTTAAAGATTTTCAAGTCGAGTAAGAAGTCATTGACGAATTTTGGTTTCAGAACCACTTATTGAAGATTTTCTAGTCCAGGAAGAAACCGTGGACGAAATTTTGTTTCAGAACCCTTGTTATAGTTTTTCAAGTCGAGCAAGAAGCCGTGGATGGATTTTGGTTTCAAAGCCCTTATTTGAAGATTTTGTAGTCCAGTAAGGAGTCATTGACGGGGCAAAAAGCTCCGAATCATGAGAAAAAAGGAACCAAAAAAGCAAGGAAAGAAAGGAGTAGCAAGTGTTTGTCGGAGTAACTTCTCACTGAAAACAGGGTAGGAGGTGCCGTTTCTCCGGGGGGCTTCAGTATCGTTGGGAAGGACTAAAGGTGGTGGAAGGGGTAATTGTTATAAATATGAATGATTGATAATATATAATGCCAGATTTTTAGTAGAAAATGAGAAAAAACCGAAAAGACTAAAATACCCTAAGTTAATAGAGCAAATTTAGCAGACGTTGATGGGAGGGACCCAATCCATAATTTTTTAGAACCTTTGGAAGAGTTGATCTATCGGCTTTTACCTTCATCAAACTTCAATCACAAAATTGCCACGAGACTTTTTAATAATCACAAAATGGTCACCATACAACTTTAGAGCATTAGATCATTAGCTTATAAAGTTGATCAATTAACATAAATTGGTCTTATGGGTCTCACGAAAAATCATTGATCTCACGTGAACCCAACCCTATATATATATATATATATATATATATATATATA